CGGGAGGGCTCTGGGCTGCCTGCCCGGCACAGCGCCCGCCGGGAGCCCCCCGCAACCGCTTTCTGCCAGTTCTGGCACTGAACGTCCTTGTCTGCCTCAAATTAGCCCCAAACCGAAGTAGGATTAGACAGTTTTAAGCCTAAAAGGTGTGACAGTCCTCCCTCCAAGACCGCTGTTCTGACTACATGCAGCTCTGGTCCCACTCCCTGGAATGCCGGGGGTGGCAGAAGGAAAAGCTGCTGGAATTTTCCTGCTGGGAAATAAATGCAGCTACTCCACGTGCTTGTCTGTCTGCGGGGGAAAGGCCGGGTGTGCTGGAGGACCCCCTGCGCCAAAGGGATGGGCAGCGGGATGCTCTCGCCCCTGGGATGCAAAGGGAGAGATCAACCACCTCTCATCTCTTCTTCCCCCTTCCCACAACCAGGACGGGCCCAGAGCATCCCTGGGGAGGGATTTTTGAATGCTTCTCTGTTAGGCAAAGGTTCGAGCCCCTCTGCCTCCTTCCCAGCATGGAGCATCTCTCACTTTGACCCGATCCGCCCTCCAACGTGTGTCTGGGTCTCCGTGCCCTCCGCTGAAACCCACCAGCATCCTCCCGAGCTGCAAAGGAGCTCTCTCCCGTCGGCACGGGGCAGCCAAGTCTTCTCAGCCTTCCGCACCCACAGCCACCAGCCCGGGATCACAGGCACCGAGCAAAACGTCACCAGCCTGGCGGGGTCCCAGCACCCTCCTTTTCTCCCCGTCCTGAGCTCCCATCCCACCGGCAGTGTGCCCGCCTGCGTTCCTGCCCGGGCTGGGGTCAGCAGGTAGGACAGAGAGCTGCAGGCAGCTCTGCTGGGTCCATCTGCTCGTCCATCCCGCTGCAAAGGGGGGTCCTGAGCTGAGCCCCGCTCCCGGCTCTGCCACCATCCTCTCCAGCTGATCCGGACCTACCCGAGGCCACAGGGAACAGAAACATCTCCATCCTGCATCCCTGTCCCCCCACCCCCTGAGAAGCAGCTGAGAGCCTGGGACCGATCCTGGTGGGTGTTGAGGGTCCCTGTCACCCTCTGCTCGGTGGGGAGCCCCAGCTCCCGGCAGCGTTGGACCCTCTCCGGCAGGAAAGCGCAATGCGGCGCGCGCAGGTCCTCGGCACAATTAGCCAACAAGTGGCTGTTTTGTGAGGGATTGTTGCTGATGTGTTTTAAGTGGCTTTCTGAGTGGAAAATGTGAGGCGCTGGAGAGGCCGGCAGACAAAGAGGGGGATGCATTAGGTTTTATTGGTCTGCTTCGCACACATCTGACATCACTCCACGGAGCAAGTCCTGCCTGGCTTTGGGGAAAATGAAAAATAAAGCAAGAAAAAGGGGCTGAGGGTGCAGGGGCGGGGGAGAGCGCCAGTGATTCAAGCAGGCAAGTGGGGGCTTAATAGCAGGAGACACTGGAGCAAACTCTGTCAACCAGATGGGACCCGGGTGCTGCAGGAGGAGAGGGGAATTAGCCAACCCGTGCTTTGTTCCAGCAGAAAGCGCGGCCCTCTCCCCCCAGGAGCTGCCTACGTGTGATATAATACAGCCCCTTTCAGCCGCTAAGCTGGCCAAGGACAAAAGTCACCGATAAATAGCGAGAGGGTGAGGCTGAAAGCAAAAGGCAGAGTTGCCAAGAGCCCCCGCTTTCTCCTCGGGCTGCCCGCGCTGCCGTGCATCTGCCCTC